CCAGGTCCTTGAAGGCATGCCCTGGTGTTGGTCTTAAGGGTCTCATTTCAGTGGATTCAATATTGCAAGTGCTCTATTTGAAAAGATAATTCTTTTGTAAAAACCCAACCTCTCTGATTTATTTTTTATACGTCAAAGTGAAAATTGAATTCTGAATTGAACCTAAGTAGTTGTTAAAAGATTAGGAAAATTACATTATATGATTTGGTACTAGAATTCCGAACAAACTATTTTTGTTTTCTAGGACTAAGAGGAATTTTTAATCTTTTACGATTATGAATACTACAGAAAATGTATGGCATCTAGGTAATAAATAATACGCAACTTTTCCTTGCGGTGTATAAATCCAGATGTATAAACTATTACTTCGTCTGGATATTTGTGGGCTGTTTTAAATTATCGCTTCATATATTTCTTACCCATGGTCCCTGATTTTACATCGTGGGTGCAATCAAAAGCTGACATGGCCGCAGAATCGCTGTTCCAGCAATTTTTTATAGGTACTGCCCCTCGTAATGATTTATGTACCTATAACACTTCACATCCGGCCAGATTTTTAACAGCCGCCAAATGTGCTATGGCGCTGCTGTACATAACAAAGCTTTGTTTCGTATAGATCAGCACTTTTCAGACTTATATTAAGTGCTATCAGTTCTTCTTTATTTTGCACGATGATTCAAGTGAGGCCAGTTTCTTAAATCATATGAGGAAACAAAGAAATTATTTCCCATGTTTCGGTCTTTCTTAAACTAAAGGAAATGAATTTGCTGAGTGTTTGGAAATCCTGCTTTCTATTTGGCAGGTTCCGGGTTCAAATCTTTGATCGGAAACCGGCTGTCATGCCTGAGGGTTTTTGTGTTTCTCTTCATTTCTACCACTCAAATGCCGGGATAGAAACTTAAATTAGGCCACCTCGTTTCCTTCCGTATCCCTTCCCATTCATTGCTTATTAATTATCCTATCATTGGACGCTGTTTGGTCTGTGCTACTGACATTGTCATTAAATAGACCCCATATAAATGGGGCTTACCTTATTTTTTAGTGTATTTTGAGAAAGTGTGTCAACAATTCAGTTATTTTGCGAACGTATTAATGTTAGAATGTACAACAAATTATCAAAACAGTATTATCAAATTAAATTACTGGAATATTTTAAAAAGCTTTAAAATCAGTTCCGGAAAATATATCAATATAAATCAATAGTTAGGCAGAAAATCAATGTAATAAAATCAATTGGTTCTTTGCGTAAGATAATTTAATTCTGTTCCTAAAATAATGCCAGTAAAACGTATGAAGAGATCTGGAAGTAAGTTCGAACTTTCTTGATTATTATACTAGGTAGAGGCTCGGTTTGATCATATTGTTTAAGAATAGGGCGTTATTATTGCTCCAGAAGAGGTCATCTGATTAAAAATATATTATATTTATTTATCTTGATATGCACCATAATGTGATCGTACTTTTCCAAATTGTTAATTATACTTCAACACTGGCGTAGAGATACTTCCATACATTAAACGGTCACCTACAAAATTTAAGAGCCAAGAGGGACATCGAATGTAGATTCAAAATATGTTATTTTAAATTACAGTTTTTATACGAATTTTGTACAATACGTGGCCTACGTTTCAGTAGTTAACCTCAGTAGTGAATGCGTGATAGAGTTCAAGTGGCTTTAGTTTCTTGATAAAGATGTAGGTCACGTACAAAATAACATCCAGAAAGTGCTCCATGTCAAGGTGTTTGCAACATCCCACTGAAAGGGAGCATATGTAACACATATATGGATTACTTGTGATAGTGTTTAAATCGCAGGATACACCAACCTCAGAATTTCTTACTTTCCGACCGACTGGTAACATAATTTTAACACAAAGCCTTTCGGATTTTCTACCAACTAAAGCTGCGATCTGCATGACTAAATCGGAATTACATGCCACGAATTTAAAAATATTTTGTACGAGAATTTACAAGACTTTAGAGCAATACTCCATAAAATGTTAGGTACCACAATACAAAAGTTAGATTTCACGATGATGCGAAGCCCTGGATTTGTTTATCCCTGTTTCAGCTTTGTATAGTTTTATGATACTTTTAGTATTACTAATTTTACATGATTCTTTCTGCAGGCAACTCACGTAATTCTTTGGAAAAGTCTTAAGCAAGTGACGTGTGTGCCTATTGAATGCACAGATATATATTTAAAATATTTACTTCTACTCTGCAATTTTGACCCAATACATCAACGCTTCTAACTTAAAAGCACACTGTTGAACCTCTTCTTCAGTCCATTATTACCTAAGGATATTTCAATTTTAATATTATTCTTACATCCATGTTTCGCCATTTCAAAATATAGATGTGGAACAGTTTTTGCCGCCGAAAATGTGCATTTGCGGTCTCTCTTCGTAGTTAGATATTCAGCCAGTCGCAACCAAGGTTGATTTATGTCGAAAAATGAAGTTTCGTATGTATAAACACCACGCCATGAAGACCTATACGGAAGGTAAAGTAACTCATGCATTCTTAACATTTGCATATGACATGAGCAGATATTCAGCTTCAATCTTCGGGCGCTTTGCTATCGATATTCACTGTATGGGCCACAGAACAATATGGAGTGGAGCTGAAAAAATTCCTGTCACTGCCAACGCTTCATATTTCTTGGGTGAAATAAATTAAACTCATTAGCTTATTTATTATACATAAATTCTAGTGTACATTTTTCTGTAAGATTCATGAATATAAACTGTAAGTATCCACACTTATCACCATTGTCCCACAGTGACCATTTGATATTCACTCTTACCATCCAGAATCAAAATAATGAAACTCGTCGCGAAACAAAATCAAACCAAAATATAATACGGAAGTAATTAGAGCTTTTCGACACTAGCACGTAATATCTACCCGATATTAGGACGTTAAAACTACCCATTACTGCGCCATCCACTGAAATGAACGGTAAAGTGTATTAATGCATTAAACTCCTTTGGGGGGTGGGGGGTGGATAATGGTTTGCAATATGTTAACTGAAATGACATTTGCTCAAACCGGACTCTTGCATCAGTGTAACTAATATACTTTGGTACTTGGTGACGGGAGAGAGATAAAGATAATGGTTGGGGCAGAGAAGCGTTATTGATAGTTGTGTGTATCTGTTAATGAGGGGATAAGCCCGTATTATTTTATCGTAGTCCACAAAAGAGACTTTTAGGGTTGCATTATTTCATTTCTCCCCCTCTTGCTTCTTTTTATCATTTATTTGTTCCCTTCTTGTGTTTATTGTTTTTTCTATATTTTCTTTCCACTTCGTCTTTGTTGTTCCGATTATTATTATTATTATTATATCCCATGTATTCACCACTTTATGGGGTATGTACTCCCATGTACCCGAGACAGACCTTGTCCCTAAGGTACATAGGGCAGCAGCTATTTCCGGGATCCATATTGTTTTTAGCAAGTGCCACATGTATTATAAAAT